CTCCCTCCCTCCCTCCCTCCCTCCGACCGAGCAGGCTGCATGCTTGTCGCTGGTGGTTTAACGAATGAGCCATCTGTTTGTCGACAAGGATTGTGATGATTGCTGTTGAATGCATTTGACAGATTGCGTTTCGAGTCTTGCTTGAGCAGGCATGACGATCCACAGCCATTGCTGCCAGCGGAGTAGGCACGGTTCTCTTTGTGTACTTTATGGGTTTGCGACTGCACCGGAATTGCTATGATCTCCTCCACTCCCGGCTGACAAAGGGTTGTTGGGCCGCTGACGGAGAGTTGAACTGAGGTGAGCCGCTTCAGCTTCCCGAGCCAGATTGGATGAATCGGTCAGCGAAGCTATCCCACCTGGCGGACCTAGCTCAAGTCGGCGTTGGAAGATGCCTTCGTGTTCTGGACACATCATCATCGAAGTATTCTTATTGCCTTCATTCGTTGAAGGTCAACTAGTGCACCGTTTGTGCTCAATGCGTTGGAATTGTCGCAAAAATGACGGTGACTGCGAGCGGAGTGCGGATTCAAAAGAGTGTGTGTGGGTGTGTCCCCACCTTGGCCTGCTGTGCGGACTGGACTGGGTTTCGGGTTTATTGAGTTTCGGGTTCTGGCAAGAAGCTGCAGCGCAGACTACACTGCACAGCTGTTCGCAGTGAGAATCCTGCAGATGGACCTATGCTTATCATCGAGGCTTTGTTGCATGCGCAACATCACCACCAATCGTGTAAGATGGCTAGGCCCCGAAGTTGCCGACACATCTTTCGGCAGAAGCCGTCTCGGTACGGCATCCCTAAATCATCCTAAATCCATCCCGAAAGTTCCTGAGAGCGACCTGTACTCATGACACTGTGCGCAGATTTCTTTGGAGCCTGGCATGCTGATAGCGGTGCGCAGCGACCAGTGGTCCTTGAGGTGCGGCATTCCGAACACTAAAACTGCAGTCTTGCAGGTGCTTCGGGGAACTGCTGCTGGCTTGCGTGAGTGGAAGTTCGGGGACTCACCGGTTGGCCGGCCTAGCAACTCTGGAAACTGAATTCGGCTTTGACTCAGACCCGAGCAAGTTGGTTAGCCCACGAGCTTCCGTTCCTAATATACCCCTGCAGGCTGCGAACGCGTGGGCGCAAGCCTGCGTTCTCCTTGACTTGCTTTGTGCAGGACTCTCTGAAGCTTACTGCACAGTCTGCAAACATGATAGATTCACTTTGAAGACAACTTCATAGAGCAATTGCCCTGTGAGTAATGTCCTCGGGCAGAAGGTTGGCACTGTCAAGCTTCATCTGAAGGGGCCTGGACTAGAGTCATTGAAGACAGTTAGCAATGCGAACTCTCTTCTACGTAGTGCACGAGTGCAAGCCCGGTGTCTTCTATTTTTTTGCATAACTTGCAAGACGAGGTCACATGGTCTGTTGCATGTTTGAGATTCGTGAAGAATGATGACCTGCAGCTGTGCCAAGCGCATACCGATCATGAGACTGCATGTCTGTAGATAAAACATTGCACAAAGATAGCAGGCGTCAGAGAAAATACATGGCCAGATTTGACCTCACATGCTGGTCGAGAAGTGGATTACGGAGCAACTGAGAAGAAACATTGCCGAGCAGTCACAGCCGTCCGTGGTGGTTCCTTATCGCGCGGCAGGCCATGCCACAGGCACCTCACATGCCAATCACGTGTGTCCTTGTGTTTCGACCTACCAAGGGGAATTTCAACCCAAGCCGCGTTGCTGGTTTGCGGGGACTGGTGTTGAAGGTTGCACGCATTCAGTCTCTGCTTGGGCACCGCGCAGACTTTGAGACGCTGAGTTCGCTCCGGACTCCGGGAAGCAAGTTGAACAGACACAGGGAGCAGGTGCTCCAGACCCGAGCCTGGACCATCGCTGCCCTGCTTGGTTGCGCCGGTGAATGGTCGGGGGTGTTTTGCGGGGGAATTAAAGGAGCCTTTTTTTCAGGCTCGCGGGATCTCACGCCGGGTGATCGTTGGAGACGCATGCAGACGTTCGAGAATGCAGACTCTATTCCCCTGTGAAGCATTGCTGTAAATTGTAGATGCCGCTTGCCCGCCCAGCGCAGCTCTTCGTCAGGTTGTCCACCGCTCGGAGGAGGAGGAGACCCGTTGCACTGCAGTACGTGAGGGCAGGGTCCTTCGTGCAAGTGCCGCAGCTCCGCCAAAACTTTGGACAGCCGACAACTTGCGCCATCTCATGCCCAAGCAGTCTGAGGCACCAGGATCCATGCTTGAGAGGTGAGGATTTTCGTATCAGTTGTAGTGGAGGAGGGCTGGTAGTCAAAGTCATAACCGTGGCCTCGTTTGCAGTCGTAGTCGCAGCAGTAGAAGCAGCAAGTGGTGGTGGCGGCAGGAAAGGACGACGAAGACTAGCCTTAGAAGTAGAAGTCGAAGAAGTAGCAGTAGTAGCAGTAGGTGATGGTGGTAGTAGCAGTAGTACTAGCGGAATGGGGTAGCGGTAGGCTGGAAGGACATTCCACCTCTTTCGCTTTCGGGCGTTTGGCGCTCGGTGGCCGTGCAGCTGGAGGCGGGCATCTGTGATTGCGGTATCAAGCGCAAAAGTCCAGTATAGGATGGAAGCTTAGACTGTTGTCTGCAATGGTTGTATTTAGCAATCAGAACTAGTCAGAGATTGAAGATCTGAGGTGCTCCGAAGTCATAAACTTGGTATAAAATCAAATGCTTACAGCGATCGCTGTAGCAGCAGCAACAAATAAGTAGACCAATATCATCTTATCTGCAGTGACAGGAGCCGCAGCCCCATGATAGCCCGATCAGTGCAGGTCTACAAGGAGCGTCCCGCACCCAGCTGCGCTTTCTCTCTGGTGCTGCTGACCTGGGTTGCAGCGCTCTACAGGACTGCCTGGGGTTCAGAGGTCACGGGGGTAGCAGACATGGTATGAGGAACTGGAATCGGGGTGAAGAGTACGTGGTTGGGGGTCCTGTAATGTTCAAGACTTGCGTTTCGGCTTTACTTGGCGCTCACTATGGATTTCCTCTGCAGCTCGGGAGTGTTTTGACCGCCACGGTCTTTGCTCTTGCAGGATGTTGTTCGTGCGACACTTTCGCACTCGAGCGTCATGCGCTTGCATAGACTGGGGGCGGTGGTGACATACGCTGCGTTTGCTGCTTCTTGTATCATTATCATGCCATCCCGATAGGTATCGGTGAGCAGCTCTGGATGCAAGTATGACTGTGCCTAGAAATAACCTAGCAACAATTTCTAGGACACTTTTGTCATATCGAAGTAATATACCTTAAATCAGAATATTAAGGCCCCTATAATTTAAGGTATATGTGGCGACCTGACCCTGGCAGGATCCTGCGGACGGATTTTCCTCCGCCGGGCCCGGCAGGTGACAAGGGCCGTCTGGCCAGGGCTCCCCTTTGGGGTTTTTACGTTTTGGGGAGTTTTAGGGTTTTAGGGTTTTAGGGTTTAGGGTTTGGGGAGCCTCTCTGTGTCCTTCGGGCTTGAGTTGAGTTGCAATGCACTCAAGTTTCGTCCTCTTGATTCTGCAGGCATCGCTTCCCTGCCACGAAGTTTACATCCTGTTTAGAGCTCAGTGCTCCAGCCTTGAATTGATATCCTCTACAGCTGATGGATCCTCAGATCTTCACTATTTTAATTTTCAATGCCCATCTCTACAAATCGAGTTGGGCCTCCGAGCTTCGCCTTTTCTCTCTCGTCCGGCCATCTCTTGGCCTGCAGCCCCAGAGCCCTGAAACGGCACTGAACCCGCGCACAGCCTCCCTGAACTCGTAGAGCGAAAGACGGCAGGGCTTTGCATGGACCCCGCCGCCGTGCGCTTCGCCCAGGGCTTCGAGGCTTGGGCGTCGAGTGCTAGGATTGAAGGGTTGAAGTTGTGGCCTCGGGGGTTCTTGCAGGAGCCGAGCCTCCAGAATGGCTTTGGGGCGTTCAGTGCGCACGGCGGTGGTGGTGGATTGTGGTTTTTCGATCCAAGGGTGCACAGGCATAGATCCAGGCTGAAGTGGCTGAAAAGATGATGCCGAGAGTCGAGCTCTGCACTTGAAAGTGCTTGAGGTTTACGGAAGAGCTTTACACAAAAAGCAGAACGGAAAGGCACTACGTCACTACATATGCCAGGCAAAGCGTTGGCTGCTACATGCCTTGTGGCCACTGGAGCCAGGCCTGTGCAGCATTCTCGAACATTGTCGTTTAGGAGGGGTTGGAAGCGCGCATCGACTCTTTTTCCCGGAGCTCACCAGAACGAAAATGCAAGGGGACCTGTCCATCCAGAAAAGTCTTAGCATGCCCGTATCAGCATCTTACATTTTCAGGAAATAGCCTTGCACAGCCGGAAAAGCCAACTGCCACTCGGAAGGCTACCTGCGCGGTTTCCTGAGCTCTTCGCTTCTATTGGCGGCCTGTCGACGTTTAGATCCATGCTTCCTGAAATCAGGACGGAAAAAACTGTAGCCGACAAATCTTGACAACGGAGGACGGTCTCTTCATTAAGACAGTTTTAGGCAATACCGATACCAGTAGTTTGTTCCACATCAACGAATACGTACATAAGTGAGTACAAACATGACTAGTGCTATGTACAGCGGTAGCAAACCACGCCGAAGTAGACAGATATAGTCAAAGGTTCATTTGCTCTGAACCCAGCGAACATGTTGAACAACCAAGCTATCCGGGCACAGTTGGAGGACGTCTTCACATTATATAGGACCCTTAACGTTTCAGTGGTTGCGGGGAGGCCAGGGACCTGAGTGTTTCAACAGGGATTGTGGCTCTGTGCTTTGCCGGTCGTCGCTCTGCGTTGCTTTCGGAGTGGCCGTTGGAGACTCTACGTTCTGCCTGCAGCTTCAGAGCTGTCCCAAGGTGTTGGGCTACTCCCTGGAGTACGAGCTGGGCAGCGCGCACTTCTGCGGCCTCCTACTGGGACTCCAGCCACTTGGCAAAGCTCGAGGTTTTTCGGTCTGATGTGCCGTGGTTGGCAGCCAGGTGATTTCCGTGCCACCCTGCGTTTAAACAGTGGGAGAATGCGGTTTCCAGGAGGATCCGGTGTGAGAAAATGCTGGTGCTCGGCAACCCTCGTCTATGAGCTTCGTCATTTCACATCGGATGGAGAGGTGCCATGTTTGCCTTGGAAGCTAAGCAGCGGTGGAGGTTGGATAGCCTCCTAGGTATTTTGCAGTTCAGCAGTCTTTGTGGACGTCCGGTGCACCCGTACCAATGAGGATTGGAGCTGCCTTCTTGTTGCTGCACTTTCGCTTCTCAATGTGGTCGCCTCAGCTTGGCCAATCTCTCTCTATGTGCTCTTGAGCTAGACTTCTCAGGTGTGTGATTTCCTTGGAGCCAGCGATGGCTGGCTTGGCAGTCATCGCGCACCGTGTGAACCCCAAGGCCGAAGACCTTTGTTGCAGTGGTCTTTCTAGCCTACGGATGGGGCATTGGAGGCTTTCGAGGTCATAGGAGTTATCGGAATTACATGAATAGCCTAGACAAGCTGGACGGGCCATGCAGAATGGGAGAGGTTTGCACACTCTGGGTGCAATCTGTCAGCAACATAATGTTGCTGCTGCCGGCGATGCTTGCAGGTGCACAGCGACGGACTGGGTGCAGCATTGAAGCTACCCTTCGAGGTGATCCGCCGAGTTGTTTCCTGTTTTTCAGGTCCGGCTCTGGTTGCGGTTGTGGAAGATGTTCCAGGTTCCCATATTGCAAGTTCGGAAAGGGGAACTGGCTTGGCAGAACTCGAAAGAGAACCTGTTCGGCATACATGACCGCGGGCCACGGGCCATTCTATCTACACTGTTCATCGATCCGTTGAGGCTGCATGTTTGCAGCCTTCTCTGCTTCAGACAGGCTGATTGCGACCTGCCAGGTTGAACCTCGATGGCACATCTGGGTTCTCCTGGGGCTTCTGCTGATGCAGGCCTGTGTTTTGCTGGTCATGCTCACTGTCTAACTCAGTGTTATCATCTGCCTTTTCATTCCCGCACGTGCGTTCTGGAAGTGTGCAGTGCCTTGTCGACAGAACTGTGCAATGTTGGTTCAGGAGCTCGATTCTTCGTCTTTGCAAACTGTGATTAAGGCTGGTGACTTCCCGAATGCCTTGGTGGTGCATGCAGCAGGTCGGATTCTTGGAAACGCTCTTGTCAGATTCGAGGTGCTAGGCTGCATGCAGAAACGACATGTGGGTAGTCGCGTCACAGGAGTCAATCACAAACGAGGTAAAGCTCCATACTTGGAGGATCATGGGACTTAGTAAGTATGGTTATAAGTACCTTAATTGGGGTTGTAAGTAGTTATAAGTATAGTTACCCTAGTAATAACCTTAGTTACTAAGTCCCATGATCCTTGAAGTACCCACCACCTGAAAGGCGTCCTCTGCACCCGTGGCTCCTTCTCTTCGAAGACTGAGGCCTCCTCCTTGGCGCGGTGGTTGTGATGAGGGAGCCCGAGGTCCGGAGAAAGAGCGAGAGATGCGGAGGGCCTCGAAGTCTTGTGCTCGAGCGAGAGAGGGACTGGCCAGTTTGGCCTGATGTTCGGGCTGCAGAGGCCGGGAACGGCTATTTTGGAATGAAGAAAGACAGTGAGAGAACTCATTTTCGAGACTGTCCTGCACCTTGTATGAGCCTGTCGACCCGAAGCCGCAAACACAAAAGCTGAAAGCAGCTTATCGCACCGCACATCCTAAGCACCTGAAGACCATGGACTTAAAATGTGAACTTCTGCTTTTCGTCTCCTACCCATAGTCGACAGCCAGAAAGGTCTGGGGAGATGCCTGGCGCGCTCTGGTGGGCCGATCGTTCACCTGCGGGGCAGTGGCTCACATTGTGCCCGGGAACCTGGCTGCTCTCTGGTTCGTTTGCTGTGTGGCTGTGGGGTTTGACTGGCCGTGGGATGGCCGTACAGGGTTTCTGGGGCATGTGGGGTTTTGCAGCACTGCGAGGTCTACAGTTGTGGTGGGCGAGTGCGTGGCTTCAGGGTTAGAGATTTTGTGTTTGTGGGTAGCCTTTCAGAGAGTTGGAGCTTTGTAGCCACAGCATGTTCGGAACGTATTTGGGCTCCAGCTGTTCAGCGTTAACGGTGAGGTTTTGCCTTGTTGTGTAAGGTCAAGAGATGTGTTCCAACAATCCAAACCGAAATGCTTCACTTGGCCTGGGTCCCCAACAGTCAGTCTCAATCCAGCAGCAGCCCTAGACAACCCTTGTGTCGTCCTTCAGATGACGCTTCCAGATCTTCCACCGGACCTCAAGGTAGTTAGAGAGTGTTTGCTGTTGTTGGGTGGTGGTGTGGATGCGAAGGGTACGGAGGCTGAGGGTAGGGAAGAGAAACGAAAAGAACACAACGCCCACATTTTGAGCCTCGAGCTGTCACCAGCCAAGGCTCTTCGTCTTCACAATCGTCTTCATGCCGCTGACTGCGCTCGCCCCCGAAGCTTTCTAGTTCGGAAAGAGGTCTTCAGAGTTTCTGTGATGCGAGGAAGTTGAAGCGTCGCGTGGCTTACTAGTTGCAAGGTCTCTTGTGCTGAGATATCCCTTGTGTTGCCAACGGATCTCAAGAAATCTTTCCGGAGGTGCCCGAGGCTCCGGCGGACATGCTCGCGCTCTTTCAGGCCGAGTTTGCAGGTTCTACTTTTTGTGTGAATCTTCAATATATGACCTGCCCGTGATGGAGGCAGCACTGGCAGATGGCCGTCTGTTTAAGCTGTCCTGGTGGAGGGACTCGTGGCCACCTGAGCTTCCTCAGTCACGGGCGTGGCCTGCAGAATTCGCTGTTGCGATGTCGACGGGGCTAGCAGTGTTCAACCAGCATTTTGTCGGATGGTTTGCCAAGGATCCCATCATCCCTGCCATTGCTACATATGGCGGGGCCTGCTGTGATAGACGAGGTTGAGAAACACCAGAGGTCTCAGTGCACTCACTCTTAGAGTCAACTTTAGATAACCGAATCAGACAGCAAAGGGTGTGCTCTTGTCTGCACCACCTGGCCAATTGTTTCAGTGGGCCTGGTCGGAAGGCCATCTCTGGCCAGCTGGGCGGAGAGGCTTGCGTTGTGAGTGTGACAAAGCCTCGAGAGGCCGGCAATCTCAGGAGAGTTGAACCGTTTCTTGCAAGGCACTGTATATTTGCCGATTCCTGTTGAGCATTGCGCTGCCCCTGCTTCTCTCTTCGATGCGCATGTGGGCCGTGGCCCAAGAGGGTTTGTGCTTCGCATCTGGATCGTTCGAATGATCGCGACTTCAGACCCGCCTCTACTCGGTGTTCTTTGTCATTCTGCTTATGCCCCTTGGCCCGGAGGAGTTGATTGACCAGGTCCTCGTCCGTCGTCCCAGACCCACAACGATGTCGGTGATTTACGTGGTCAGGGGCATCGACCTGGACTGGTAGCACGAAGAGCGAGTGAACAAGCACACTCCAACGACTAGGAGCATGATTTTCGAGGGCAGCCTGTTGGAGATAAGGCGGTACCAATCACTCGATGCAACAGTTTGCGGGGTTGAACGTGCAATCACACCTGGAGTCCTAAAGCGTTGGCGACTAGCGTTGCAAGCCACGTGGTGCTTTGCACAGGTATACAATGAACTCTCCAACCTGGAGGCAGGCTGTTTCATGCTCTTGATTTTGCTTCACCGTGTGGGCGTTGTGAGGTATCCGCACTGTGGTTTCTTCTCGCTCTTCTACCTGGCCAGTGCCCGAGACTACCTAGCGAAGGCTTGGCTTGGACAGGCCCTGAAAGGCCGAACGGTGTGGTAGGCATGTTGAAATCTCTTCTTGGATGGCTCCTGCCCTAGCTAGCTTGATGTGGACAGCGAGGAGATGAGAGTTTCGTACACTTACACGAGACCGGCTCAGAGTCGCATGGCAGTAGAAGTGCTGAGCACAGATCCGAAAACCTTGGGCACCTATGGGCAGTTCTCTAAATTAGGGTCCCTCTTTTGGGTCCCCAGTATAGTACGGCACCCTTATTAAAAAAGGACCCTAAAAGGGACCCTAATTTAGAGAACTACCCCTATCTCAGGCTGGAGCCCCCAAGTGCCCACAGCCGTTCCCATGGAGTCTTGCCCCTGACTGACTGAAGGTCTTTGCAATGTGGAAGTTGCCGAATGACCGGACCTCAGGAACACCTAGTCTAACATTTCGGTCGAGATGGTGGTGGTGGTGGTGGTTGTGGCGGAGAAGTACAGTAGAAGCCCAAAAGTTGGAAACTCAATAGCCTCAATCCTTAAGAATAGTGCATGGGGAATTCCAGCATTAAGTGTCCTTAATCGGTTTCCAACTTTTCGGGGTTTACTCTAGTAGTAGGAGTAGGAGGAGGAGCAGAAGCAGGAGCAGGAGCAGGAGTAAGAGCAGCTGCTACTACTACTACTACTACTACTACGACTACAACGACTACTACGACTACTACGACTACAACGACTACTACGACTACTACGACTACTACGACTACTACGACTACTACGACTACTACGACGACGACGACTACTACTACGACGACGACGACTACTACTACTGCTACTACTCCTACTCCTACTGCTACCGCTACTGCTACTGCTACTGCGACGACGACGATAACGACTACTATTAGCGATGCCGTGATCATCACAGACCGAAATAAGTACTAGCCGATTTTTCATCGCCACTGGCGGGTGCTTCGTAATTGAGAATTTGCGTGGGGGTTAGCGGGTGTCTTCGCTGGCAGCTGGGAATGTAGAAAATTGAGTGAGTCAGATGGCTGTGACTCTCGGTCATGCTAACGACAAGTATAATGCCTGTGCGAATACCGGAACAGACACCTTGCTAACCCTGGTTGTTGTAACGACAACCAAAAAGCAGCGACAGGAACAGCGATAATGCTCCCGCTTTCGGTTGCTCCTTCCCGTCCTCCTGTGCTACTGCTTCAAGCAAGTATCGCCACAGCGACGACCTGGTCGTCACTACTTCAACGCTTCTAAACATGCAATTCCGCGGAATCGAGCCACCTCAAGCGACAGATGGTGGTGGTGGTGATTGTGGTTTTGGTGTGGGTGGTAGTGGTGGTGGCGGCGGCGGTGGTGCTGGTGGTGGTGCTGTAGTTACTGCCGGTGGTGGCGCTGGTGGTAGCGGCAGTGGTGGTGGTGGTGGTGGTGGTGCCGCTGCTGCTGCTGCTGCTGCTGCTGTTGGTGTTCTTTCTTTTGCTTCTATGTCCGCCACTAGTACCACTACCACTGCCAGTGCCCTGCCACACGGCCATCCCCGCCGCCACCGCAACGACTGAAACAGTAAAACATTAGTATAACTTAATGCCAGATGGATTAACTGCAGATGGACTACGTCTTAAATAGAGGGCATACGGGCCTAGGAGAACAACTCAAATCATTACAGAGGTGCATGCTTCTTGCAGAAACTGTGTCACGCCGACGGCAAAAGCTTTTCTTGATGAAGGCAGCTACTTCTCCAAAGCGGAAGGCCCAGTGAAGTGTGGCACGGTGACCTGCAGTGGAGCTGCTGCAGAGCCTGCACAGAGCCTTACAGGATAGAAACACATCCTCAAGCAATTTGAGGATTTAGGGCTCGAGAGCTTGACTCAAATGACTGGTGCAGAAAATGAACGTGCTGGTCATGACACACCCTAAACCCCTAAACCCTAAACCGTGACATTCTTTGGTACAAGAAGCCTCCACCACCCCCCAAAGAAGGACAGCCTGGCAAAGACTTGCCCCGCGACCGAGGCCAGATGTGCCGGGAATTAGTAGTGGGAGGATCATGGGACTTAGTAAGTATGGTTATAGGTACCCTGATTGGGGTTATAAGTAGTTAGAAGTATACCCTAAACCCTAATAATAACCTTAGTTACTAAGTTCCATGATCCTGTAAGTAGTTGGTGTGGAATCTATCCAAGTCTATCTCGAAAGATCATCGACTCGCGGCTCTAAGCTGTTGGCATCTTTGAAGGAAACCTGTGGAGCAAGAGAAACTTCCGCGATCGTACTTACTTAAGAGGGTTCTGATTCTAATTGCAATGCTCGGACTTGCCCCTTGACTGGGGCTGGGGTATTTTTGAGGCGTTGGCTCTGGAGTGGTTTGTGGAAATTGCTCGGAGCCCGCATCCTGAAAGCTCCATCAGATGTTTTCCCCTACCCAAACCTGGGTTTACGGAGTTTCGCGGTTGGGGGCTCTGTCAAACCCGAATCCCTGAAACTTAAAACCCTAACCCTAAAGCCTAAATCCTAAACCCATAAACCTTAGGCCGACTAAGCCTTTCAGGATCCAGCAATTTCACACATGTCCAGTTCAACCGCAAAGCCCCGAAGCAGTACTATTTTGGGGGTTCTCTATTGTAAGTATAATATGTTATATAAGCCCTAAACCCTAAACCCCAAACCCGAGCAGAGAGCCGCCGGCAGAGGCTCTCCGCGACTGGGCCCTCCGGCGGGTGCGCCAGGCGGTGCCGGGCAGCTGCCAGGCCGAGGGGCTCTGAGTAGCGTCGCATTTTTCGGCATTTTAGTAGGGTTTAGGGTTTAGG